CCGCTCTCAGCCTTTCACTGTCGAAACCACTAAATTTATCCGTCTCTTCTACTCCAATAGCTTCATGTCTCGTACCTGTCGCCTGTGGAACTCATTTCCCTATTCCAGTTTCCCTGAGAGCTATAATCTCCAACTATTCAAATGTAATGTCAATCGACATCTCCAGTTGTCTTGATCTATCCACTATCCTTCTCCTCATCCTTTCCTCTATCAATCCTATCTGATCGTGCTACAAATCTTCTGTAACCCCTTGCGTTCTAGTGGCTTCCCGCCTTGCTTGGGGTGAAACGCTAGAAAAAAAAAGTATGAAGGGTTTTTTTCTTTCTTTTCAGATTTCAGAATATCTTAAGAGTTTTTAAGTAGTTTTGTTGGGAATTTTTATATTTTGGTATAAAGTTTTATTTCTATTAAGAAGTTAAGGATATTGCTTGGTTTAATATTTTGAAAGAGTTCTTTTGTATTGTTTGCTTGCTCATATTTTGTTTAGGTCTCACTGAGATGATGGCAACCTATGAGTATTTATTCCACTGTGAGAAATACTTCACATCTGTTGCATGATGAGGGAAACAGCGAGTAACCTAACTAACTTGTGAATGGCTGACCAAGAGGACAAAGAGGATGAAAAATAGTCGAACGTTGCTTAGCGCTACAAAGGATCAGATATTGTGGAGAGCTATAATTTCCCTTAAGGATACGGTAAATAAAAGAAGAATGCTATTTCCAACGATGTAGAATTGGTACTAACTCAACCATTGGAGACCAGGATTCGCCAATAAAAGAATTGGCAACATGATATTTAACAATATAACAATTTCTTCTTTGATTTTCTAGTCTCTGTGGAAACGGTGTTATTTAAATGGTTCATTGAAGCTCAAGACTCAAGAATTAAATAACCGCGCTGTACTGTCTGACTCAAAGAAACAAGATCGAAATTGGTCGGTATGTTGAGGGACTGTTTTTCTCTTAATAATGTCTCCAAGTTTACAACTCGCGCTCTTCTTTGTAAATATCTTTTTCAAATAAATCTTCTATACGCATTGGCTGCTTAAACTTTGCACATGAATGAGGTAAAACGCGTTGAAAGAACTTTATTACTCATATCGCCACACACTCCGACAAAAGAGTCGAGTTTTTTATCTGACAAAAGAGTCGACTATTTTATCACTCGAGTACTTTTGATGTGGGTTCAAATTTTTCAATATTTGTGAAACTCATATTTTAATTATTATCGTTTTTCCCTGGCTATCTGCTATTTTTATGCAACATTAACTACGACTGTCTCTTTATAAAGGCTGTTAATTTATCTGTTGTAATGTATAGTCATTCTATCTCTCTATCTATCATACACAAAGGCATAATATACATTGGGAATACGGTAGTTCTGATATGTTGTTTTCATTGGTCGGGTAAATATCACGTGTTCATTTTTTTGCGTTAGTATATAGATGCATTAATTCATGTAAGCGTTCTGAGTTTATAAGTAGCATTTAACCGACCGATGTAGCCTATTCTTATGCGGGTTGGGCACCTAGGAGTGGTGTAATGGTTAGCAAGCTTGTCTCGCTAGATCAGTTACGACTAAAAAGTGAGTTCGATCCTTACTAGGTGTCCCATACTTTCGGCTTTGTGCCACATCTAAGCTACGCTTAGAAAATAACTATTCTAATGCGGGTTTTTCGTGGTGTTTGTGTTCTTTTATGCATGTTAAGAATTTTTTGTGTCAAATAGAATTAAGACACACACATACATACATACATACGTACATACATACATGTAAATGATTGAGGTTTCTTACATGCCATCAAATAAAATAAATACATACATACATACATACATGATACCCTTCACATCATTTTTGATGGCTTCCATCTCCTTTCAGCATCTATGGCCCCTAAGATGAATCTTGTTATTAGCATTTGATTTCATAGGTATCATGGATATATGACAGATAAAATCCGTATCCTTGATTGTTATGGGACCTACCTTTATGGACTAAATGGACTCGTCCTATTACTATATTATGCCTCTCAAGAGAGCTTTCTATGGTTGACGAGTTGACTACGGTTGACTACGGTTGACTTCTGTCGAACTCTCTGCTTTGGCAGAGAGGAACCCAGACGAAGCTTTGCCGTCTAGGCGGGTTCAAAGGGTATATTTTTTTGGTCGAGCCTACGGACTCGGTGAAACCCACATTAAACCCGGCCTTGTGCCACATTCAATCCTCATCTGGGGATCGTTAAATATTGTTGACGATTTAACTACGGTTCACTACGTGTACGACTTCTGTCGAACTCTTTGCTTTGGAAGAGGGGAACTCGGACGAGGCTTTGCCGAAGGGCAAAGTTTCGTCCGGGGAGTTAGACAGGCCCTGAACCCGTCTAGGCGGGTTCAAAGGGTATATTTTTTGGTCGAGCCTACGGACTCGGAGAAACCCACATTAAACCCGGCCTTGTGCCACATATATTCCTGACGAGTTGACTACTGTACTTTGCCTCAGTCAGACGTGCAACACTTTTTTATTCGTTCTTTTTCTTTAATAATACGTTTTCACTAAATTGCTGAGTTCGAGTTTTCTTTCGGTCCACAACTATTCTGGGTCCACAACATTGATTGAGTTGATTGGATTTACATGGGCTACAACTCTCTTGTGTACCGCCATGTACCTTTTTAGTCTAGATGATGATCTGTAAACCATGTTGCAAATAACACAAGTATTTTTGGCAAGACAAAGAGGCAGTTTGCTTTATTCTGGTTGTTATGATGACTGTGGTAATATAATAAGCACATCCCATCTCCCCCCTTGCTTATAACCATCCATCACAATAAAATAAACGTTTTTTCAGCTTAGTGCTGAAAAACGTTTATTTTATAATTTTTTTTAATTTTATAAGCAGAATGAATCAAATAAAGCTTTATAAGTTTCTACTTTGAGTTACTATATTATAATGACATTTCAGATGATTTACATAACCTGCTATCGACAACAGCAGGCGATCACACGCATCACATTTCCAAGACTGCATATTAGTTGGCAAACCAGTGTGAGTGCCTCTTCGAAGATCACGCCTGATCTGAGCATGCCTGAGATATTCATTCTCAAAGTATTGCATCCCTCTCTTATAAAGTGCCTACATTCTGCACGATTTAAAGTTACATTTACATACGTACAGTGATACATACATACTAACGCCACAAAAATGAACACGTGATATCTCCCTGACCAATGAAAAAAGATAAAATAGAATTCAATAAACCGGAACATCTCTGCACTACGCATTAGCAAAATTTCCGATAAAACTGAATAAACAGTGAAACAACTCCAACTTATTTTTTTTCTTTTATTCTTCCTTATTTAATACAGAAACAAAATAAAAAAAAAAAAACATACCAAAATAAAATAGCAAGCAATACAGGACACAACAACTTACTATACGATATTCAACCTTACTATACTCAAAGAATTACCGAGCGATATTCAACCAACTATAGGAAAATGACTCCCAGGTTTCAGAAAATTAAAACGTGTGGAAATAGTTTTATCCAGACTCCGAAGAAGACATACACTTCTAACATACTCACATTTACTAAAAAAATGAAATTCTCCTATCATGCAGATGTCAAGTATCTCTCACAGTCGAACATATACTCATAAATTGTCATCATCTCAGGGAAATTTAAACAAAATATTATCATGCAAACACTATAAAAGAACTCTTTCAAAACACTAAACCAAACAATATCTTTAACTTCTTAATAGAAATAAAAAATCTTGTTTCTTTGAGTCAGTACAGCGCGGTTATTTAATTCCAAACTATCTTGAGTCTTGAGCTTCAATGAACCATTTAAATAACACCGTTTCCACAGAGACAAGAAAATCAAAGAAAATGTTATATTGTTAAATATCAAGTTGCCAATTCTTTTATTGGCGAATCATGGTCTCCAATGGCTGAGTTAGTACAAATTCTACATCTTTGGAAATAGTGTTCTTCTTTTATATACCGTATCCTTAAGGGAAATTATAGCTCTCCACAATTTCTGATCCCTTGTAGCGCTAAGCAACGTTCGACTATTTTTATCCTCTTTGTCCTCTTGGTCAGCCATTCACAAGTTAGGTTACTCGCTGTTTCCCTCATCATGCAACAGATGTGAAGTATTTCTCACAGTGGAATAAATACTCATAGGTTGCCATCATCTCAGTGAGACCTAAACAAAATATGATAAAGCAAACAATACAAAAGAACTCTTTCAAAATATCGAACCAAGCAATATCCTTAACTTCTTAATAGAAATAAAACTTTAAAAAGTAAAGAACCCTTCGTACTTGATAAAGATCACCACTAAAAATAACAATGCAAACTACAGTGCTGTTCGATAAAAGTGACTCACCTGATTTTTTTTTTACTAAATGTTCTCTTCTCCGATGAAACGAAAGTTGAGCTAAATTCAAAAGATAAGCTATCTAAAATCCGAAGAAGAAGCTTTGAAAGCTCTTTGAATTTAGCAGTAAGTACTGTCAAGCATCCGTTCAGTATAATGTTCTGGGGATGCTTTTCTTTTCATGGAACTGATTTCTTAAAACCTATTGAAAAGACCCCCACGAGCGAGCAGTACAAGAGAATTTTAGAGTCTTACCTGCTCCCTTCTGTTGAAAGGGTGCAACTCGATCCCACAAGTCACTTGAAATTTTCTTCGCACACATAATTACAAATCATGCTTAAACTTGCCTTCACTCTTTCTTTCCTTCACTTGCACACATATGCGTGTGATGTGATAATAAAATTTAGAGTTACACACTATGATTCCTTTTACATATGTACATTAATCCATATAGAGACAATACTAACATAACCTTTATGTGAGAACAGCAGATAGATAGATAGATAGATAGATAGATAACAATCTCAATATATATATACATATATTGAGATTGTTTTTGATGACTTATCAACACTTTGTGGGTTGTTAAACATTGAAACATATTTCACATCGTAAGGGATTGATTACAGTATCATATGTTCGCTAGCTGTCTCCCATCTAAGTACTGACCGTGATCGACGCTGCTTAACTTCTGTGATCGAACGAGAACCGGCGTTTGAATGAGGAAAAGCGAGTGCAAAAGGAAGAAGGAGATGAGCATACTAAAATAGAATGTATTGATAGAAAAGACTGAGTTAGATAGATCCTAGTAGAGTGGAATGGATAGACACAAAGAGATCAGAAACGTGAAGCAAAAGATAAGGAACAGACTCGGATAGATAGATAGATAGATAGATAGATAGATAGATAGATAGATAGATAGATTCATTCGTGCACACAAGTATATATGTTGTTTTCATCACCTTGGGACAGAAATACTGGCCGACAAAAAACTGATGAAAGGCTGTATCGTCTCTGTTCTCATTAAATTCAATTAACATTAACTAAACAATAACAATAATAGTGTGAGTTCAATCCACGTTCTTTTAGCACATGATGATAAAAGGAACGCCTCCCTGCTGTTGGTCATGACGATGACAGCGACGCTGAGAGCTGCAAAACGAATTGATGAAATTCACAAGCTAATTACAGAAATATATAAGGAAAAGGAAGACATTATATTGATTTTTAGTTTCGGTAGCAATAGAACAGAAAATGACCAAACAGATTGGATTTTATAGAATGTGTGAGTGACTATGATATTGATAAATATTTCGATCTCGTGTAAGGTGTTCATATCTAATTATCTATCAAATCTGTATCTATCCTGTTCTTTACTTGACTATCTTCATCAAATTTACCTTCGATCGATATCTGCTTATCCTTCTTTACACACCTGATGTTTACTAATATTAAAGTAGAGAATGATTATAGGAAGATAGTGATGCGCCAGGAACAAAGAAAAACCTGCGTTCGAAATCCTGGCCTCTGTTCGAGTTCTTTGGTGCGTTAGCGACCCAAACATGACAGCCGGCTTCGAATCTCATAGTCTCATAGTCTCAGAGTCGATTTGTCAAGGAGATGAATGCATTACTATCAGAAAGTGTCTGAAAATCATACCACACCAACTGTTCGGAAGCCGTCGACGGTTGTGTTAGCACAAAATAACAAGCCATTGTGACTGAGAGTTTGAGTGCACTGACCTTGTTTAACTACTGATCCCGTCATATTATGTCCGCTCTCCCAGAAACAGTAACTAAGGTCCGCTCATCATAATTGCTGCAGAAAGCATGGGCTGTCTCTTTGGGTATTGAAGAAGCAGAAATATTCCGGAGCAGGCGTCTGCAACGGGGATTAGCTATGTGAGAGATTGTTCATAAAATGTTTCTTCATTTTCTAAGGATCCATAAACATTTCATTTGGTTCCTGTTAAGATAAGCAAGTTCTGTAGGTGTATTGTTGTGAAGTGAATTCGATGCGCACTTAGTGTCTGATGGGGGGGGGGGTTTGTACAGGACTATGATCAGCTTAGTCAGCTACAATTTCGTTCGCTTTTTAGTTTTAGTTGTTTTTTTATACATCGATTCAAATCTACAGATATCCATCATACATATATTCATTATATATATATATATATATATATATATATATATATATATATATATATATATATATTAAATGGAATACACTAATATTCCATGGAATATTAGTGTTTAAGCCTTTTCTTTTTATTATATCCTTACTCTGTCCTGGACATTGAGTTCTACTTGGATTCTGTCCTCTTGGAATGTATGTGTATGTATGTGTGTATGTATATATATTTATATATTTTAGATATATGATTTCATATGTAAGTGTATATTTACCACTAATATTTTATATATATATATATATATATATATATTCAAAAGATTTTGAAACAATCTGCGTCTCTCGTTTCGTGCGCATGTGTAGACGTGGCAACGTCATCAAAGACCAGTCCGATGAAATCCTAACGGATGAAAGACGTCACAAAAAGACCATTGCACTTTGTCATATTTTCTAAATATAAATAAATACACACACACACACACACACACACACACACACACACACACACACACACACACACACACACACACATATATATATATATATATATATATATATATATATATATATATATATATATATATATATATATATATATATATATATATATATAATATAATGCACGCCGATAGTACGACTCGGAGTTCTATGCTTAATGCAATAATGATTACACCAAAAGAATATATAGATGTATTTGTATATGAACACTTACACTTACATTTATTTATAATTATCCATTTCATTATTCATATATATATATATATATATATATATATATATATATATATATATATATATATATATATATATCATAACATAAGAACACAGTGAAACAACCAGCCTAGATAGCAAAGTCCTGCAAAATAAAAGAATGTACCTACTTGGCCAGAGTGCTAGCGACAGTCACGTTTCGATTATAGAAGTCGTTTCGCTGATGGAAAAATGGATACAAGTTCGTTAAAAAAAAAGAAGAGAGAACTAATTCCTAATTTCATAAGCAAACAATTTGGGATGTGGAAGGAAGAAATTATCAGGTTCATAATATATATATATATATATATATATATATATATATATATATATAACTGAGTGGTTAGAATGTTTGCTTTCAGACCATGTAACCCGTGTTCGAATCTCATAATTGTCGATTTGTCAATAAGATGACTGCACGTGTTGTCTATTTCGAAAGTGCCGGAAAACGTTGGATAGATGGTAGACAGAAATATTCTTCGAAATGACTTCGGTAGTTTTGCTAGCACGAAGTCACAAGTCATCGTGATCGAAGGTATGAATGTACTTTCATTGCTCAAACTGCTGATTATGCCAGATGATTCGCTCTCCCCCAGAAAATGTAAGCTCCGCTCAGCATAGTTACAATATAAAGAATTGGTGGGCTCTGTGGGTGTTGAATAAACACAAATGTGCCTGATCAGAGATTGACTAAGACGCCCTTGTAGGTAGGTGTACTCGGAAAACAAGTAGTCAACCATTATATGGTGCCGGGTGTACACACTCCCAGGTATATATGTATTGATGTGTGTGCTTGTTTATTGTATATAAATGTGTGCCTACATGTATCTAGAATTAATTTTCTCCAATTATATTGATCTGTTTAGTAATCTGGCAGCTAGTTCATTAATCCTAATCTTTATATTCATAGTTTCTCTATCACTCTTTATATCATTACCCTTCCTATCCCACTTCCGTTTGCTTCCTATTTTGTCACGCACGCTTCTTATGTGCGCTCCCCTCCCCCTTTGACACTTGTCAAAATCAAAACATCTTTAAACGGACTTTGAACCACTTACCATTCAAGGCGAATTGCATCAGACAATAAAAAATATAGTGACAGACAAAGCCATAAATCGACAGACAACAACCTGAAATAAATTTAAAATAAAATATTCCTCTCGCTAATTTCATGCCTCTCGGTTTGACCATGATTTTCCTTTCTACTTGTACATCTATATCGGCCTGATAGAATTGCCTCTTTTTCTGTTCATGTTTCTCATTGAGGCTATCCTCTAACTCTCTCTTTCTCTCTCTCTCTCTCTCTCTCTCTCTCTCCCAACATATCTACCTATCTATCTCTTTTTTAGTAAATTCTCGTGAGATCTCAACGCCTCAGTCTTGATGTAATTACGTTTCCCGCGTAAAATCTGAAAAGGCGGGAAAAATCAATAACAGATCTTTATTACGTTCGCCACTGATATATTGGCACTTGGATTATTCACTGTCAAAAAAAATTCATTAATGAGTCGAGAGTTGTCTGAAAAACACAAAAAGAATATCGTTTTTTCTTCTTCATTTCTTACAACTTTTACAATTACAGCAAACTAATATTTCGGCGTCTTTGATTGCCAGCGAACTCCTCAACGTTGATCATCTGGTATGTCTAGCTGTTGTCTCCAAACTTCAATTTTCGTTGTTGAATCGAACTAATGCTCATTCATCAATGGAAGGCTATAATCTATATTACTATCATTAGGACTTCAATCACCAGAAATATCCTGGATGCTAAATATATCGATAATATTCAACATCGTACCAAGCAGTACGGCTCATTTTGTACGAATGTTGATCATATAAAATTTATTCATTTATTTGAATATGAGGAACGCGATAATGTTACACAAACGCTGACCTATTTTATTAACAAATCTGAATGTGGGATACTTAACAACAGCTGTGATAAAAACAAAAAAAAATGCTTTCGATGCTGAATCAAGTCGTCTTAGCTGTACGTCTCGACAGATCGAACGCCAGAAATTTAAATTTAAAGTTTAGCGTCCATATATCCTCAACGTTTCTTTATTCATAATTATAAGCAACGTTTTTCTTTATATTTTTTGCTTGGGTGATTTTGCTTAGCGGCACATTAACCTCTCTAGGTTATTTAATGCGAAATCTAAATATTTTGAAAGTTGGCTCCTGGTGCCGCGCCAGGAAATTTTTCTTCCCGGAATCAATCCTTCAAATCTACAAATCAACCATTCGCCCTTGTATGAAATATTGCTGCCATATATGGTCTGGAGCCCCTACTGTTTGCCTCGGGGTTCTTGACACGATCCAGAGAAGGATATGCAATATAATTGTCCGCGATCTGGCATCTCATCTGCAGTCGCTCTCTCACAGACGCGCCGTCGCCTCTCTGTGTCTTTTTTTACAAATACTTTCATGGTAATTGCTCCGATGAGCTGCTTTCGCTGGTTCCAAGACCTCGAGAATTCAAGCGTCCTACGAGGCTGGCATCCCGCTCTCACCCTTTCACTGTTGAAATTGTTAAATGCAACCGCCTCTTCTACTCCAATAGCTTCATATCTCGCGCCTCTCGCCTGTGGAACTCCCTTCCCTATTCTTGTTTCCCTGATAGCTATAATCTCCAACTTTTCAAATGTAATGTCAATCGACATCTCCAGTTGCCTTGATCTATCCAGTATCTTTCTCCTCATCCTTTCCTCTTTCATTCCTACCTGCTCCCGCTCCAAATCCTCTATAACCCCTTGCGTGCAAATGGCTTCCCGCCTTGCTAGGCGTGAAATGCTTAAAAAAAAACTACTGATTAAATGTATTATTTGTAATTTTGCCATA